TTTAAAAAAAGAAATCTATGCCTCCTTGAGATCATAGATTTTTTTAAGGTCATGCAGAATTTGTACAGAATAGCAAATAACAAAACATAATGAGACCAAAATATCAAAAGGAAAAGTGCATATCTAATTGCCTTTTAACAAGGAGAAAATCTATCAGAACTTAATTATACTTCCAATCTCATAATCATACAGTGATTATGACTGGATAATATTTTGCTACTTTTTTTGAGGTTGATTGACAAATATGTATTTTCTTCCATAGATCAGCTGTAGTAATTGACCAGAAGGTGTGATATTAATTCAGAGTGCACAGTGGACAGCTCAGCAGAATTTGTGATGCTGATTCAATGACATCCTTCCTACGTTGTCATGATATGATTACGCTCATTTTATGTGTGTATATGTGCCTTCGAGTCAGTCTTGACTTCTGGCGACTGCCTAGAGTTGTCTGTGCAATTTTCTTGGCAAAACTTTCAGAAGCGGTTTGCCCCTGCCCTCTTCCTAGGGCTGACTGGCCCAAAGTCACCCAGCTGGCTTTGTGCTTACGGCACTAGAACTCTCAGTCTCTTGATGTCTTGTCTGGTGCCTTAACCTGTACATTAAACTGGCTCTTTAAGCTCATATAGCTGAAACCAATTGTCTTAAGGGCAGGTTTGCATGACACATCAAAACTAGACAGATGCCATCCACTGGTTCTGTGCCAGGTGTCCCCCTCCCCCTAAGAATTAAAAAAAATATCCACAGTGGCCTTTTGAATCCCCATTTCATTTTGGGGTGGTGAGATGAGGGAAGGGGGGAAAACAGAAAAGTGTGGCCAGAAAATCCTCATGTTGTGGCCACTTTGGAATCCCACCTCTGTACTAGATTAATTCAGAATATTCCAGTGCGGAGGCCTGGAATGCAGAGGCCTGGTTAAGGGGGGTAAATTTGTGTTTAACCTTGAGTCTATACTATAGATAAAATCTTCTACCTTAAACCTGTTTTGTCCTGAGATCAAGAACCATATGACACATTAGATCTATTTACAGATCTATCCCTTATGGTACGATGCCATAGAATTGTGGTCTACCAATTAGAAAATGTCTCCAGTTTACTTTTTCCCTACAATAATCAATTATTTATTATCATCTTTAACTAACCCAGCTTTTCTATAGTTGAACTTTCTTCAGAGTTAATCTAAAATATTTTTCCTCCCCATAATGATACTATATTTCCTGTCCTCAGGTGCATAGGATCCAAGAGAAGCTGTTTTATTTGGCACCTGAGGCAGAAATTCCAGCATATAACGCTTTCCTTCCCTGCATAAAACAAGTATATATAAAATAAATAGCAATTGAATGCCTCGTTATGATACAGAAAACCAGCTACCTCATACAGGGACCTTGCTTTGCCTAATTGCAGCACTAGCCCTCAATTTCTTACACTCATATATTGTTTCATTTAATGCATGTAAATATTTTATCTTTAAAATATAAGCACCCTGGTCTACAGCATCCCCTTTATTCATACCTCAGAATGGCAATTATGTTTTTGACAAAACAGGGCTTTTTTGAGCATGTCTTTTAAATTTTCAAACTCACTGTTATGATTGTAATAATCTGTTCAATATCTCCCTTCTCCTCATACATTCTTACATATCTAGCTATGTAACCTTTCTTTCTATTTAGAAGATGGCCTCTTGGGTAGTTCTTGTGGCTCAGTGAAGATTTATTTGCAAATATCCTTTTATCCCAGTGCTTTTCAAAGTTGGCAACTTTAAGAACTGTGGACTTCAACTCCCAGAATTCCCCAGCCAGCATGAAAAACAACAAAATCCATGTCATTTCCCCTATGTGAAAGAATTAAAATGTCATTTTTAGAAAATGACAATTCTCTCTTCCAATTTAGATCTATAATTCTCTGTCTGCTTAAAATCTTACTGAACTCAGCAGGGCTTACTCCCAATTAAGTGGATAGGTATAAATTTGTCCTGACAGGGATTTAGCAATTGGTGCTGGAGAATTCACTAGTCACACAATTAATGCCTGATCCTTTTCTTTCATATTAATATATTCTGGAAACAGAAGCCATGCAAATTAGCAAATGTAGCACATTTACTGAGAACACAATTTCCATACCTAAAATGAAATATATAAATTATATACAGTGGCATATTTTGTAGCTCACTTCATTGCTATATTGTTCCACTTCACAAATTACATTTAATTTATATTAAAACAGCCTTCTCTGGCAGTAATATTCTTGTATGGTTTCATATTCATTTTCATCAGACAACAAAAAATATTTTTTTT